ATTAAAAATTTACATCAATTTAAAATTTTGTTCATTTTAATGTTTCTTGCTAATTTGGTTCATTCTATTAAAATTCCACACTCAAATGTCGTTTTATTTGGAACATAAAACACTTTTACGTCACGCTCTAATATTAAGTAAAAAAATATATAAATTGGCATTACTGTCTATATCAACATTAATGACAAAATCTAATCGTGATACTTTATGTTCTGTACTATATATATGGTTGAGGCTTGCGTTCGCTATATGCATACGTTCACACTACCGTGCACTTATCGAACTTTACAATTGAGATTACGAATTAACCAAAGTTTTAGGCATGATACTATACTTTGTCCTCTAATGGGTGAACTTCAGTCCCTAATTCTCTAATCCAAACAAATAAGTTCTTTTTGTTAAGAACTCTTTCCAAAAAAATTATTAACTATATATATGATAATTTAAAGGATTATTTTGATTTGAATATTTTATATTACTAATTAATCTTGTTGATTTCATGCAAGCCAGTAGCAACTAGAAACGGATTCCATTAATCCAATTTGGTAAGGGTGTACGAAAACATTATCTTGTCAAAAAAAAAATCATCATAGGTCGTTTTGATGACCATCACATAGAGAAGGGTTTAGTTGATGTTGGTGCAATCATCAACATCCTACCTCTAAAAAGCTAGGAGAGAATGGGATTGACTTACATGGAGGATGTCAACATCGAGATCATACTTGCCAATAACACTCCTTGTCAAGCACTTGGAGTAGTTAGAGGCCTAAGTACCCAAGTTGGACCATTCATATTCTTTTTGGATTATGTGGTGATCAATATGAAGATTGATGATGCCTACTCAATCCTATTTGGGAAATCATTCCTTGCAACTGCCCGAGAAAAAATTGATGCAACAAAGGGAGATATCACCTTACATGTAGGACAGATAATGCATCAATTGGTAAAAACCATCAACCAAGTAGTTAGTGATGATTATTTTGAGGAGAATGAAGAGATAAAACCGGAGAATGAGATCAAGATTAGATCCAGATTCTCTATTTGAGGATTCTTTAAATGCAATCTATCATCATCACGATCAAAGATATGGAGACAATTGAAGGAAGCTCCACCCGTTCATGATGTGAAGCTAGCTCAAATTGCACTTTGCATGGCCAGTACAAGGCTCAAGATGATGCTATAAGAAATCGAGGATATGGAGTGGGAAACATCGAAAGAGCATCAAGACTTCATATGCTTTCATCGTCAAAACGGATTCAATGCACATCAAGAGGAAGGTATGTCAAATCGTACATGTTAAAGATTGCTTTTCAAAATTTTTGAATACATCCATCATTGTTCTCTGACCAATGTGAACGTAGTCATCAAGTTGATCAACTAAATATCCAAAAGCAAGCATATGGAATGCACCATTAAGGTTTTGTTACGGTGATAGGGATACTTGACCAATGACATCACACTTTAACTTAAATGAGGGATCAAACTGCATAATGTCAGCCATTAGGCGATGAAATAACCACGAGTGCAGTCAATAATACATTTTGAATATGAGGGCCTTGTATAGAAGATACTTATTGAATTAATCCTTCATAAGACGTTGACGACATTCGACCCTCTCACGATTAATGCGACTACGACTTGTTGATTGACGTTGATGTTGTGAACCTTCACCAAGCCTTCGAGTGTTTAAATTCAAACTTTGATAGTTAAATGCCTCGTACTCTTCTATGTTTTCTTCTCTTGTTGATGACCTATCAAAGAAAATCATGATGGATGTGTTTGTTTTATAAATGGAGAGAAGTTTCATATGAGTTTTATGTGTTGATGGAAAATGAGGATTTATTATTTATATATTCAGGCATATTCTACGCAAAAGAAAAAAGACGGTTGTAAGATAAAAAATGAAAAAGGTCACATACAACGGTCAGTAAGTAACAAAAGTAAGTTAACGGTTATTTTCACAAAAAAAAATTCTAGGAAATTTAAACAATTAAAGGAAAATTTTATTTTAAAAATGGTGACAAGATATTAAAAATTTAAGTGAAAAATAAATTAGCATTTTATGTGAAGGAGATTGAAAAACTAGGAAAGCTAAATTTGAGAGGTTGTAGGGTTGGAGTACAAAAGTGGATTGAGAAGCTAAAAGTGAGTATTTGAAAGTATTAGGAGATAAATTTGAGTGGGAGGCTTGAAGTTGGTATGAGGTTTAGAGATGAAAATTGTCCTAACCAACCCCAAAAAAGCAGCTTATATAACTGATTTGCCTCGCCATTGTTTCCTTCTTAACCTTGTTTGACCCTCCAAGATGGGGTGAGCCGGGTCAGTGAGTCAGCTCAAATCAAATCAACACACTGGTTTTTTGAAAATTATATTTTGATACAATATTTTATTTTCTTACAATTTAGTACCTAAACTTTATTTTTGTTTACAAATAGGTCCATAAATTTTGGTGATAAAATTACCTTTTTAGTACCTTTTATACTCTTTATCTTGTATTATAGTAACTAAACTCTTAAGACTTTATAAACAGATCCAATGTGTTGGTATGAGCAATTTCATACCACTTGTTATCGAACATAGGGTCAAATAGTGATCCGACCCTAAAATGATTCATCATGATTCTCAGGATCGGGGCGGATCAATGAGTCTCTAGGATCAAGCATACACCCCTTTGAGATTTCAGATGGGTCAAGCTAAATGTAGTAGCAACCTAGCCTTATCATGTTGCATTGTGGTTGGACAGATGGACTTGCCTCGTCAAGTTAACGAAAAAGATAAGAGCCGATTAAAAAAACTAGAGAAAATAAAATGTATTTAACACTTCGTCCAAGGGGAGGGGAAGGAAAATTTGGAGGGAATGAACATTTGAGGGTAGTGAAATAATGAGGGAAAAATAGGTGTTCAACTTTGAAGGGGAAAAGTGGCTCAATAAGAGATAACAATTGTTTTCACTCCAAATTGTGAGTAAGGGTGGACAACGGGAAATGAGTATTTGAATATACCCACACCGTCTCATTTTTAACATACAGAAGACATAAAGAATGATTATGGTTGGTATAATTATATTGGTTCTCATGTTAATTTGGTCAATTTAGTATATCTAGATTTTTGAAAATCAATTATGGTTTTGTCATTTTGGGTATTATATGGGTTACCGGCGTATACACGTTATTCGTTTTGTACAGACAATGAGTACCCGTTAACAGTACGAATTTAGGATATGGGATGAATTTTCTCTCCAAATTGGACCGGGTACCCGTTTAAAACACAACGAGTACCCAATCCCGTCCCGTTGCCCATCCCTAATTGTGGGGAGGGGGGGGGGGTTTCAAATGCCACAATAGCTTTTCCCCATAATAATTACTCCCCTGTACTTAGGCCCGACCCAGATTTTGTGCCGGTCAGACTCACAACATAAGGCCTCACATTCGTTTATATGGCCAGGGAAGGATGTATGGGCCAAATTAAAAGAAATGACTTATTAATTCGTTTATATAATGTATGTGCCAAAATTAAAAGAAATTGAATGGATTAGTTGGTTTTTAATGGGTCATATTTGTTCTATAAGGTCATGCACCATAAGATTACTTATCCTATCCGTAACCAAATTTCTTAACCCAAACAACCCACAATTAAGGGCAGAAAAGTAGATGGAGAGAAAATGGGGCTTAGGTGGGTTGGGTGAAGGAATTGACGTACAAGCCGTAATGCCATACGTTAGCACACAAAAAATGAACCCAAATTATCCAAATTAGCTTTCAGCACCCCCACTGGCCACTGCTGCTCTTGTGGTGGATTCCCAGCAAACGAGCGAACCAGTGATTGTGTTGTATTTCGATCTTCTTATCCAGAAGTTGACCAATCAGCATTTGCATGCGCATCCACTCACGTCACCCTACCGACACTACTGCACGTGTATTTGTATAATCACATGTACTTTTGTCGTTGTTTTCTCCTTTTCCATGCCTTCAGCTTCAAGCATGCTAACTAAACCCCATGAATGGATATTTGATTCAAAACCCCGTTTGGTAGTCGTGTAAATTGTTTACATTAATGAATGTATGTCTATTACAATCTATAAATACGAAGGGGCAAAATCGCGTTTCAGGAAAAATAAAAAGTCTACCTTGTTGATTCACTTTTATTGGGAGTACCCAAAATTAAATGGAATAATTTGTGGCGGAGATATGCTGAAGTTTGGAGTGTTATAGCTGTCATTAATATTAAAATACAGGTAAAATAATATGTAAAATTGATAATAAATTTTAAAAAAAGTTAATAAGACTTTTCCCCTCTTTAAATTACAACCACGGTTCAAATTACATGTAATTTTAATAGAGGTAAAATTATATGTAAAATTGGTTACAAATTTTGAAAACAGAGGAGTCGATGAGACCATAACCCCCTTTTCAAAAACCACGATTCAAATTACATGTAAACCCGACAAGAAATTTATAAAATAGAGTAGTCGATAAGACCTTATCTCCCTTAATACATGCGCAAATCAGTTTTCACATTTAGTTGCACTCATTTTGTTGTGCAATTAGCGAGAAATTCAACACTAGATGAATCAACCCACAAGTCAATATGTATTGTGTGTCCATCCCTGTTTCCACAAGCTTCTCTAGTAACTTTGCTGGGAAAGAAACTTCATATTCCTGACTATGAACCACATGAGCGACATATTATTGTGGCTCATTTTTCAAAGAATACATCCAACGCCCAATAGCCTTCAAAGTCTTGAGCATAAACTCTTGAGCAAGTTTGTAATTATTTTATTCATCAAAAAATCAGAAAGAACTTTTAGAATCTAGTCAATCGCTCGAAATGAATGGTTCTAGACTTCTAGTTGTAAGTCATTATAGTACAAAGAAAATTATACATAGAATTGGAAAATGTATCATGTATATCTAAATTGGTAGCATGTTAAAATTCAAGATTCCTAAGTTTAAATCTGGAGACAAACAACCATTTGAAGAAGGGGGGAAAGAAATGTACCAGACACCATGAGAGGATGGTCGCCGGGACGAGGTTCTACGGCGACGGCGATGATCGGGGCAGCAGGGAGTTCAGGGAGGTGCTGAAGGAGGTGGTGTCACTCAGCGGCGCGACGAATCCGGCGGATGGATTGACGGCGGGAAGTTCGAGAAGACGGTGGCCGAGCTGGCTCGAAGGACGGATTCGTTCTTGCAAAAATTGATTGAGGAGCATAAGAGCAAGAAGGAAAGGTTGGATAGTGCGAATACCATGCCTGACCACTTGCTCGCGTTGCAAGAGTCTGAGCCTGAGTACTACCCTGACCAGATTATCAAAGGGCTTGTTCTGGTAAGCTAACATGTAATGCTTTTTACATATTACGAGTTCTAATGATTTGAAAACATGTGTAATTTTGAGTGTTATCAGGTCATGTTGTTGGCAGGGACGGATACTTCTGCAGTGACATTAGAGTGGGCGATGTCAAATCTTCTGAATCACCCAGACATATTAGTCAAAGCAAGAGAAGAGCTCGACAAGCAAATTGGCCAAGAACGAATGGTAGATGAGCTTGATATTTCTAGCCTACCTTATCTTCAGAACATAATTTCGGAGACCCTTCGACTGTACCCGGCTGCTCCGCTCCTGGTTCCCCATGCCTCATCCGAGGATTGTGTGGTTGGAGGGTACCATTTGCCGCGTGACACATTGTTATTGGTCAATGCATGGGCTATCCATAGGGATCCTAATCTTTGGGAGGATCCCACGAGTTTTAGACCCGAAAGGTACGGAAAAGGAGGGAACGAAAGTTGTAAGCTGATAGCTTTTGGATTGGGTAGAAGGTCTTGTCCTGGTGCAGGCCTTGCCCAACGAGTTGTGGGATTCACTCTTGGGACATTGATCCAATGCTTTGAATGGGAAAGGGTCAGCGAGGAAGCGGTTGACATGAATGAAGGGAAAGGGATGACAATGCCTAAAGAGAAACCACTGGAGGCCATCTGCATAAGTCGTCCAATTGTGAAGAAATTTGTTTCTTGAAGATAAATAAAGACATCCGAGATCAAGACTTAAACTAGGTTCTAACCTGTTTAATTTTAGTGAATACAAGGATGAGCAAATGAAGCGAGGGGTATGTTGGGAGGTTAATATTGTTCTAAATAAGTAGTATATAATTGTACTCATAAAATCATACGAGTTCAAGGAGTATATTATGAATCATTTTTTTACATTACTTCAAAGATGGTGGTTCCTATGAAAATTATTGAAATCAAGAAAACTAAATCATAGATGGTGGTTCATATGAGTGACATTGGAGAAGTTTATTTTATTGTGTTTACACCTAAAATATAACTCATATAATACTCCTAGGTTATTCACAAGTCGTTCAAATCCTTTATAAAAGCATATGTATCTAGGAGGACGAATTTTTCGGAGAGTAATCCAAGAGATTGAGTATATCTCATAGATCTAGCATCTGTTTGAAGTCTGTCTAAGCTTCATTTTCAATAGGGGCATGACCAGGGGCGGATCCAGAACTAGTAAAGGGTGTTTCGGCAGGACACTTCTTTTTTTAGAGTAAAAAACTTTTCGATTCCTATAGTAATTCAAGTCTGGAAAAAAAAAAGAGAAAAAAGTAGCAATCTCTTTGATCCGAACCGCTCTCTAATATTCTTTCCTCTTTGACTAAGAAAAAATAAAAACTACATTCTAATGAAGGCTTTTCATGAAAGCATGGTTTTGCCATAGAGCATTGATAATTTACAATTTGTCTCCTTATTTGTTTACGGTTGCAATGGAAGTTCTTAATGCTATGCTTAAACTGGCAGTGAAACAGAACCAAATTCCCTTTCATCCTCGATGTAAACCATTAGCAATAACACATTTGTGTTTTGCTGACGATTTGTTGGTCTTTACAAATGGTTATGTGCGAGGTGTGACTGGTGTTTGACGGGTCCTTGATGCTTTTTATGTTGTTTCTGGATTGAAGTGCAACCCAGATAAATGCCAAATGTTCCGTGGGGGGGGGTATCTGAGGAGGAGCATCATTTTTTATCCTCTGTTTCAAGGTTTCCCTCGGGGCATCTGGCTGTACGTTACCTTGGCGTTCCTCTAATTACAGGGAAGCTTACTCGTGCTGAGTGTCGGGTACTTGTGGAGAAAATTACTGCCAAGATACGTAGTTGGAGGGCCAAGTCTCTAAGTTTCTCTGGTCGCTTTCAGCTGATTTCTTCAGTTCTAACTAGTACTTTGCAATTATGGATGAGTATTTTTCTTCTGCCTCAGTTTGCCATCAAGGAGGTTGAGCCAATTTGTAATAAGTTCTTGTGGGACATCGATGATTCATCAGTAAGGAAGAGGGCTGTTACATCTTGACAGTTTCTTGCTCGTCCAAAAATAGAGAGTGGACTTGGGATTCGTAATTTTGCTCTTTGGAACAAAGCATGTGCTCTTCGACATCCCTAGGCCATTCTTGTTGAGGAGGGTTCTATATGGGTTGTGTGGATCCGTCGTTATCGGGTTAAGCAGTCTTCCATTTGGGACATTAAAGTCTCTGCTGCTCGTTCATGTATTTGGAAACGAATTCTCAAATGTTGTGAGGTAGCACGTCATTTCATATCACATATGGGGGTTGTTTGACGTGGGATGGCGATGTGATGAAGTCTTACTCTTTTAAGAATATTTGGAACTAGCTGAGACAGCATGGCAGCTCTGTGTCGTGGTTCAAACTTGTATGGATCAGCATATTATCCCTCGTCATGGTCTTATTCTATGGCTTGTTATCCATGACAGGTTAAAACTTCATGACAAGTTGATTGCGTGGGGGAAGCCGGTCTTGGTACTCTGTGTGCTCTGTCCTGGAGGTTATGAGATGCGCTATCATCTATTTGTTAATTGTTCATATATCAGAAGTATTCTTTCTTTGATTTTGTAGTCTGCAGCTCCCCCAGAGCTGGGTGACTGGCAGTCTGTTTTATAGTGGTGTGTGACTCGATGGAGTGGTGCAGCGGCTGATGATGTTTTACATCAGATGGCTTGGTGTGTGGTGATAAGCCTAGTTTGGCGCGAACACTACTCTAGGATGTATGGCTCGAAGAGTGCGAGAAGTCCCTCTCAGCTTGGCCTTAGAGGCAAAGTGGATCCTTTATTTCCGGTGCCAACTAGATCAGACTCTGTTAGGTTGTTTGGAATCTAGGGGGTTGGGGTAGTGTTCTTTCTTTATGTTTCTTCCTTGTACAAGAAGATTTTCATTGTACAGACTTTGCGCTGAGGGGCGCCTGAGTGTTTTGCTAATGGTTGCCGGTTCTTAATGCATTTTTAATTTAACCATAAAAAAGATTGGAGAGCTGTCGAGAAGATATATTGGCAGTTGCCAGTAGTGGACCATGAATTTCATAAGGATGATATATGTTTATTTTTTATTTTTAGGTACTACTTAAGGGATTCGAACATGAGACCTTAAGGTTAAAGACTAGTGGTATATAATTTAAAATAATTATAAAAATGTTAAATAAAAATATATTATACTAGTACAGTTATAATAGAACACGAAGACGTGATTTCTTATTCTAAAAAAAGTTCTAGATTTAATATTCACAGTAGAAAAGTATCGTTCAATATATATCCTAATAGACATTCATATATGAACTGATCACATATTTGATTCCGAAGTTTGTTCTTGATATAAACCAAAGTGAAATCTCTTTCAATATGAATGATAGAAGAAGAGGAGAGAAGAGGAGTCGATTCTCCTTTCTGCTTTCATTCGTCAAATATCATAAGGGTGCTAATTGCGGATTGAAATTTAGTTTTTAGATTTTGGAAGAAAAAATTGAAAATAATATGGTGTAATTTGAGTTTGTTTAGATTATAATTTATATTTATGTTTAAAAGATAATAATAAATGAATTATATAGTCTAATCAAAAACATGTTTGCTAATAACGACAATGTCCTGGAACAATATGGTCAACCGAAGGTTTACCCCTATCCTCGTTCTAGAGCTAAAATAAAGAAAGACTCAAAGGTTGTAGCAAGATATGGTCTTTGCTCTATCCTTGAGTCATGGGGATATGGAGTGCGTGTCTAGTTTTCATTGGAAATGAATCAACTGAATATATTTTTTGTCTCTCGCATGACACAGTATGATAAGCGGTAATAAGCTTAATTGAAAAAGCTCAACCTCTAAAAATAAACTGCTTCTATCGAAGAGGCCCATGATTTTTGTGTTGAAGTAAGTACTTTGGTGACACATATAAGATCAATGGTCTCCTCTCTCATTTCCCAATGAGAAAGTACGTTAAAGTGCGTGAGCTCTTAAGTACAAGCTGAAGAGGAAGAGGGAAGCATCAAGTTCCAAGCAACCAAAGAGGTATGCTAGTAACCTACGAGAGTACTCACAAGCGCTTTCGAAAATATAAATATGCAAAGACTAAAGATATTTTTTTGAATAACCAACCTGACATATGGATTTTAGCTCGCCCACTTTGAGCAGATAGAGATTCCCGAACGGGAAAATGTGGCACTCGGGGTAAAGGTTTGCCTAACCCATTTCAGTTCATGTCGAGGAACCCACCACCTTTTTTATTAGATGGAAGCCCGAGATTAGAAAGAAGCCTAGAAGAGAAGATGGATTACGAACTTCACTGAAGAACTTAAATCATATGATATTCTTTAACATGCACATTTTCATTAGTATTAGTATGCTCTTGTTTTGGAGTCACTTAATGCAAGGTCAAAGCATGATAAGCAGTGGGGGACCCAGAATTATTGAAGAGGGGTGTCTCCTAATGAAGGAGTATTGGCTATAATTATTAAAGCGGTGTCGTAAATCTCGTATTAAATTTTTTTTGTACCGAAAAATATAGATTCTTCACAAAATTTTCGAGCGAATGGGTGTCAGACGACACCCCTTGCCAACAAGTAGGTCCACCACTGATGATAAGCACCCACATAAATGAGATCCTGGCCCGTAAGGGGCATGATGCTATAAACATCACCTTCCTCCAGCTTATCACCAACACTTGCTCAGTGGAACAAGGTTGGTTACTTCTATTCGATTTCGTATATGCTTTTACAGTCTATGCCCTAACTAGTCCTGGGTCCGCCCTTGGTACTGCCCTATTGATAATGAAGTCCAGAGAGAGACTTTAAAGAGAGGCAGATATGGGATTACTCACCAAAACTTGAATTAGTCTCCAAAAATTTATCCCCTAGATACCAGTGCCTTTATAAAGATTATGAGTTTTTTTCAAGTGTAACCACAATAAAATAAACTTCTCCAATGTCACTCATAAAATTGTATGACCTATCAAATTTTGTTCATTTCCCTAATTTTTGTATGATCCACAATTATGAAATAAAGTAAAAAAAAAGATCCATAATATCCTCGTTGAACTCGTTATGATTTGACGAATGCAATACAATACTATTTATTTAGAACAATATGAACCTCCCTACAGCCCTTCGCTTCATTTGCTCATCCATGTATTCATAAAATTTGAAACTGGTCACAATCTAGTTTAAGTCTTGATCGTGAATGTCTTAGTTTATCTTAAAGAAAAAAACTTGTTCACGATTGGACGACTTATGCAGATGGCTTCCAGTGGCTTCTCTTTAGGCATTGTGATTCCTTTCCCTTCATTCATGTCAACCTCTTCCTCACTGGATCTTTCCCATTCAAAGCATTGAATCAATGTTCCAAGAGTGAAGCCCACAACTCGTTGGGCAAGGCCTGCACCAGGACAAGACCTTCTTCCCAACCCAAAAGGTATAAGCTTATAGCTTTCCTTCCCTCCATTTTCGTACCTTTCTGGTCTAAAACTCAAGGGATCGTCGCAAAGATTAGGATCTCTGTGGATAGCCCATGCATTGACCAACAACATTGTGCCGCGCGGCAAATGGTACCCTCCAACCACACAATCCTCGGAGGAGGCATGAGGGACCAGGAGCGGAGCAGCCGGATACAACCGAAGGGTCTCGGAAATTATGTTCTGAAGATAAGCGAGGTTGGAAATATCAGGCTCATCTACCAAGCGTTCTTCACCAATTTGCCTGTCGAGTTCTTCTCTTGCCTTGACTAACATGGTGGGATGATTGAGAAGGTTTGACATCGCCCATTCTAAAGTCACCGCAGACGTATCAGTTCCTGCCAACAACATGACCTGATAACACCCAAAATGACACATGTTTTTCAAATCATTAGACCTCGAGATATGGAGAAATCATCACATCACTGCCTATAATCACGGTCGGTATATTAAAATGTTAAACTATGCACGTTAAATATTGATGAATGTACAATATGTTGGACCCAACCAAGGTACACCAAAATTAAAGTAAAGATCCGACCTAACATTTTATATTGTTACAAACCAATCTTTTCCACCTAATCCGGCACCTAAAGATTGGGGCGGCTAATAATTCAGATCTATCCGCATTTATTTATACATTAATAAAATGATGATTAGTGAGGTTACCACTTACCAGAATAAGGCCTTTGATAATTTTGTCACTGTAGTACTCCGGCGCAGACTCCTGCAACTTGAGCAAGTGGTCAAGCATGGTATTCGCACTATCCAACCTTTTCGTCTTGCTCCTATGCTCCTCAATCAACTTTTGCAAGAACGAGTCCATCCGTCCAGCCAGCTCCGCCACCGTCTTCTCGAACTTCCCGCCGTCAATCCACCTCATCACCGGCACGAAATCACCCGGGTTCGTCGCACCGCCACGTGCCGCCACCTCCTTGATCACCTCCCTGAACTCCCTGCTGCCCCGGTCATCGCCGTCGCCGTAGAACCTTTCCCCGGCCACCATCCTCATCATCGTGTCGAACGTCAGCTCGTGAAACGCCGACTTCAGCTCCACCACGCGGCGGTGGCTGCCGTGCGCGAGCTTGGACGCGAGGCGGCGGACCTCCTCGCGGCGGATGGGGAGGAAGGCGTTGAGGCGGTGGGCGGAGAAGATCTCGACGGCGCCGATGCGGCGGAGGTTGCGCCAGTGGTCGCCGTAGGGGGCTTGGGTCATGGTGGTGTAGTTGTAGCCGATGTGCTTTCCCATGATGAGTTCGGGGCGGTTGGCGAAGACGACGTCGTTTTCGGTGAAGCATTCCTCCGCCAAGGTGGCGGAGGAGACTACGACGGCGAGGCGGTTTCCAAGGCGGAGGGAGAAGATGGGGCCGTGGTCTTGGGCGAGGGCATGGAAGGTGCGGTGAATTGGGTGTTTCAAGAGGCTGATGTGGCCGAGGATTGGGAGCGCCGACGGTGGGCTTGGAGGAAGTTGCCGGCGGCGGAGGCGGCGGGAGGAGGTTGTGGATTTGAGTGCTAGATGGGCTAAGTAGAGGAAGAAGAGAGGAAAGAGGAGATAGCAGCAGCAGATGTTGTCTATCATGGCTATTGTTCGTTTGCCTATGTGTGGGTTGCAACTAATAGGGATGAGTTGCTTTCACAACCGCTACTTATAGAAGAGATATGGTGCTTTTATTTGTTATCCTAATTAAGTTACGTTGTGCCATGTTCAGTTTGTCACCTTCAATATTTGTGCTAAATAGAGTATTGATTACACTGATTAGGTATGGTATTAATAGATAAGTTGGTACGATTTTACCAGTTTTTTAGTCTCAACAGTTTGATCTCGATATTGTTTCGTAATCAAGGTCTAGTGGATATGACATATTCATTTTTGGAGATAAAGAGATTTTAATAATGAAAAGACTTAATTCTGTCGTACATTTTTTAAATAATTGTTGTGCCGAAATTTAAACTTAGAAACTTGTGGTATATACTTCCCCTTCTCCTTCTCCTTCCTATTCCTACTTATGATAGGGTGTTAGAAACTTGTGATATACTTCTGTTTGGACTTATGAGGTTCACACAAATTATAATTTAGAACCTAAAGTTAATAGATATTTAATATTTAGTGCTCAAAATTAATTATTTTACATATAAATCCTACAATATTGATTGAAAATTCTATTTTAGTACCTAAATTTGTGCTCACTCACATTTTGAAAACTAATTTTTTAAAATTTATACAAATAGGCCCACCGTAAAGAAACTTCCTACATGCTTTAAGTAACTTGTGGTCTACTTCAGGAAACTTGTGGTCTACTTCATGGAGCTTGTGGTCTACTTTAAGAAACTTGATTGAAAATAAACTTGTGGTATGTTTTATGACCATTGTGGTCTACAACTCTGATTTAATACATTTGTAGTGTACTTTTATGGAACCTATGATTTGCATACTTGTGGTGTATTTCATGATACTTGTGGTATGGTTCATAGAAGTTGTGGTATGTTTTTATAAACTTGTGGATTGGTTTGTTGAGATTGTGGTCTCCTTTCTAAGGTATATGGTCTAGATTTTTTGGTGTGGTTTTTAGTGTTTGTGGTGCCCTCCCCCCATTTTAAGCACAAGACACGTTGGTTTCTCTCCCCCTATTTTTCATAGAATACCAAACGTGCCTCTACATCATCTTCTTCTTCATTACTTCTGATCAGTTCATTTAAATTAAAAAATTATCAAAACGAAATATTCCTATTGACTTATGCAATTGTTAACACTATATTAAAAAAAGTGTTGACATTCTAGTATTCCCTAATCAAACCCCTTGATATGCTGATATCGATTTAGTTATGCAGGATACTTTCCCCCAATTTTATGTATAAAATAAGAGTGGCAATTTCGAATAATTGTAGGTTAATTAAAATTAAAAGAAGAATGCAAGTAACAATACAAAGGCATATAATATAACTTATAAAAAACAAAAGGCATGTAAAAGGAGAACGCATGCGCAGGAGTGTCGGACTGTCGGGAGAGCGAGATAAGATAAGTCTAATTGTCTAAATGATGAGATTTAACCGCCTTTTGTTTTGTTACTTTTAAATGGCTTTTATCTTCTTTCTTTTACTTTGGATTTCAAAATTGTTCGTATATATAAAATGAGTTTGTTGTGATGTACAAAATAATATATATTTCAATATATTTTGATAAAATAATTTCATACTATAAAATGAGTTTGTTGTGATCTACAAAATGATATATATTTCAATATATTTTGAGAAAATAATTTCATACCATCCATACCACTCGTTACCACCCTTGTACCACCTTTGATTTTAACTCAAGTTTCGAAAAATATTTCTCAGATGAAACAAGTTCTATTTGTGATCTATTGTATCTACAAGTTTTTAGGGAAAGAAAATTCCAAGACTAAATATACCATTCTGGTATAGGGTGGGAACCGGTGGTAAGAAAGATAGTAAATTACGGTCAGTATATTCTTACCATCATGTACGCAACCATTCTAAACTCTGTTATGTTCATACCAGAGACTTGTTCCTAACTACACAAATAAAATCTGGACTAGAGTCCAAGTATAAACTCTAGTAGGGTGCAGTATAGGAAAACCGTTTTAAAATGTCAAACCAGGCCGGTCCATGTACTCCTACTTACCTTGTTTAAAATGTTATCTAGCCAACGGGTTTGAGTGAAAACTAAAAACTACAATTTAAAGCAAGGAAGACGTTGAATTGTTTTGGATTCTAAATAAGAAAATTCACCCGGGTATTGCTCCCCCTGGCATTGTATCAAGTTGCAATAATCGAAACTCTAGTGCGAAATAGTGTGTTCTTATACTGCGAGGATGGCGCAACTTGTGGAAAATTCACACTCTCTTAGGCAATCGATTAGGGAAAAGCAATTAAGCTAGGAAACCTAGCTCTCTCAATCAATCGGCTAAGGATTGTTAACCAATTCCTCGGAGGTTAATCCGGAACAACGACAAGTGATAAAACACTATCAAATCGTGATGCCAAATCGATGCTTGAGGTGTACGTCCCTAATTGCCCAAGAAGTGGTTACCCAATTTTCCAAGAAATGGGCAAGGAGGGGATTTCCTCCTTCTAGGTCAATTTGACCCAAATGAGATATGGAACTCAACAGTCACAAATCATGAAAATACATCAAGCATTATCTTAAAACACACAATCAACACACATAGAGTTCAGATTCAACAACCTATCACAATTCTAGGTATGGGTTCACAATACCCAAGTGAAAAAGAGAATCACTCCATAGCTAAACTAGGGATTACAGCAAAGAGGATAGAAAGAATCATGGTGTGGTGTTTGACTTCCTTCCTTTTTGTTGAAATCACCCTTGGAAGATGAAAATCTTCAATCCTCTAACTAGGAGAAAACCCTAACCCTTTTCTTATCCCTTTGTTCATCAGTTTCTCTCTAAAATCAGAAGAAGAAAATGACAATCTCTCACTAGGATCCCCCCTCTCAAGTCTCAAGTTTCAGCTCCCTTCTCCTTTTATACTCCAGTCGTGCGCTCATCACGGTCGATTATCACGGGCGCGATCTCAAAGCCTTGCCCGTGATCTCAGGCAAAAATTCACAGTTTCATTTATGGCCTTCAAGGACTGAACGACATTATCACGGTTTGGTGATCGTGACAATGTTTAGGCCCGTGAGGTGTAATAAACTTTCTGGAATTCGACGCGCTTAATGGTCGGAGCCTCTTCTTTACGGTTGGTTGACCCTGATAAAGTTGCTCTAATCGTGATCTTTGCCTTTTTGCCCTTTTCGGTCCGCTTCCTCCCTCTTTGGTTCAATTTTTGCTTTCAAGGTCAATCTCACCTGCTAGAACCTGAAACATGCTGGAAACATGCACAACCTAGCGTAAAATCGAACCTTAAGCAATGTAAACGCCCCAAACACCACAAGAATACGAGGTGAAAACATGTGCAATTAGACCCGAATCAACCACCGCGATACACTTCCATACCACGTGGTATAATATTATGTATTACCAAACATTACCATACTGATTGGTAATAAATGTATTTTTTTTTCAAATTATATAAAAATATATGTCATTTCAAAGAGCGCAATTAATCTGATTAATTTGTAAAAAAATGAAATTACGACTTAAAACGAATGTTACTAAGGATTTTCAGTTGGATTTTTATGAACCGGAATTCATCAATGGCTCTTTGTGGATACCTAGATAAGTTGTTGAGGTGAAGTGGTGGGTTCACAGTCTGTTGGGTCAGTTCTTGTCACTACCATCAATATCTTCACTCTGCTACGACAAACTTATTATGGGGGATAGAGAGATAAAGGTTTCCCTGTTGGAGGACCAGTTATTTCTCTTTCATTTCCCTTTTGCTGATGTTTGTATATGGGTTTTAGAGGAGGGAGGGGCTTGACACTTTAAAGATAACATATTATGCCATAAAAAATGGGAACCAAGAATCCAAGTACTGAAAATCAACAACTTTGCTATTCTGATTTGAGAAGGATTGCGGGCATTTTGGGTAAGCCTATGTGTATGGATAAACCTACGAGTCACGGGACTAGGCTTGGACTTGCTAGAATCCATGTTGAAATCAGTGTGAAGAAGAAATTAGTTGACAAAATTAGTTTAGAGGCATATGGTATGTGATCTATTGAAGAACATAATCAAATTTACCTGGCCCTAAGGCCAGGATCATATTTCCCTCGGGTCTCTCACATAGCCTTTACTTCGGAATCGAGGTACGGTTCTATAGAAGAAGAGACGATTTAAGAGGTTGAGATGCCTCCAGTTTTTGCAGAACGTAAGATTTAAACAAGAACGTAGTGTAGAAAAGTAAATTTACTCTAATAGACGAATGAAGATCTAAGAAGGAAACAATTGCATAGGTGCGCTCCCCTTAGGTCTTCTAACCATGCATCCCTCGATAATCAGTGGCATACGAGCTGTCCATTTCTTATTTTGTTAGATCCCACCTTATGTGGAACCATTTACCTTTACTAATGGGCAACAATGACCCTTCGAATTTCTCCCTTTAGACGTCACATTGTTCGATCGAATAGGGCCGCCATTTCTAGTCTAATCCTAAGAGACTTGGATTTCAATCATTGCACCTCGAAGGAGTTCAAGGTCGACTAAGCTCTCATTAAAATCGACAAATAACAAAATAGAGAAAATCACCCATCAACACATAAATAAAATCAATCGTATTAAACCAAACATCAATTTTTACATGGTTAGAACTCCTAGGGATCACATATATACCTTCGCAACTAAATAACTTAGCCAGTCATGTGGATGAGTTCCTGGGTATTCATCTATTGAAACAAAGACCCCATAACTTCCCTTCATTTTTTTTTTTTATCTTTCGGACCTAAAACCCGTGGGATCGTCCAAAGATTAGGGTCCCTCTGGATAGTCCGTGCACTAACGTAAAAAGTGCTCCATGAACTGTATTCTTTTTCCTTTAACAAATTTCCCAACTATTTTCCTTGTAAGGTTTTTAATGAGCCAATTTACAAAAGTGTAACACAAGAATCATGTATACTTTTCCTTCTTAGGTTTTCTCCTATTTGGAAATTTCTAGCATGATTAGTGATGCATGTTTTAGATCTATGAACATCCAAGAGGTAGTATTGTGAATTTATGCAATGTGGATGTCCATTATCAACAACTAGTACCTTTATGAAATTGGTTTGAAATACATTGGCATGAGCTGTGCAAGCCTTCAACCAACTAATTTCCTTCCCTGAAAAGGGAACTAAGATTATAAGGAGAAACCTTCTCAATACACAACAAGCTAAGAACTCTTCCTATCATTTTGTCTATTATATCCAGTTGTCAGCAGTGTTGCTCCTTCACAATGCCCATCCATGAACTAAAAAAATTTAAAACAGGTCAATTAAACCTATTTTAAGTCTTGTTTTTGTTGTCTTAACATCTTCAACAAATAAACTTGTGCACAATTGGACGATTTATGCAGATGGCCTCCAATGGCTTCTCTTTAGGCATCGTGATTCCTTTCCCTTCATTCATGTCAACTTCTTCCACGCCGGATCTTTCCCATTCAAAGCATTGGATCAATGTCCCAAGAGTAAAGCCCACAACTCGTTGGGCAAGGCCTGCGCCAGGGCAAGACCTTCTACCCAACCCAAAAGGTATCAGCTTATAGCTTTCTTTCCCTCCATTTTCGTACCTTTCAGGTCTAAAACTAGTGGGATCGTCCCAAAGATTAGGGTCCCTATGAATAGCCCATGCATTGACCAACAACATTGTGTCACGCGGCAAATGGTACCCTCCAACCACACAATCCTCGGAGGACACATGAGGGACAAGGAGCGGAGCAGCTGGGTACAGTCGAAGGGTCTCAGAAATGATGTTCCGAAGATAAGGGAGATTGGAAATATCGGCCTCGTCCACCAAGCGTTCTTCACCAATTTGCTTGTCGAGCTCTTCTCTCGCCTTGACTAATATGTCGGGGTGATTGAGAAGATTTGCCATCGCCCATTCTAAAGTCACCGCAGAAGTATCCGATCCTGCTAACAACATCACCTGAGAAACACCCAAAAGTACACATGTTTTCAAATTACTAGACTTAAAAAATATGGAGAGAAAAAAAAGCATCACGTTGATATATGATAGTGTTAATTATGCACATTAAATATATATTGTATACAATAGCAACCAATCTTTTCTACCTAATCCCGCACCTAAAGATTGAGGCTAGGTTGTCAAACCGGTTTATGCCAGTGTGCCGGTTTCGCAGGTGGAATGGTTCAACCGGTGGAACATACCGGCTTGTGCCGGTCAATATTACAAATAAAATTATAAATACTCATATTTAAACATGACATTTAACCTCAATACCTAAACATTTATACTTGAATAAACCAAATAACATCAATATTTAACTTTTATACTCATAAAATAAATAATAAAATAATTTTTATCAGTTAAACTCTCTAAAATAAGGTCATTTTACTTAGAGATTCGTATATCGATCATACTGGTCATACCGGTGGTGTCACGCTGATTTTATGACCGATACCGGTTGAATCCGGTACAACCGGTGGCACGCCGGCCGGCGTGACAACCATGCTAATAATTCAGATCTATAGCAGCAGAACATCTATAAAATTATGATTAAATTAACGAAGGTGGATTTAGTAATTTACCAGAACAAGGCCTTTGATAATTTTGTCACTGTAGTACTCCGGCTCAGACTCCTGCAACTTGAGCAAGTGGTCAAGCATGGTATTCGCACTATCCAATCCTTCTTTCTTGCTCCTATGCTCCTCAATCAACTTTTGCAAGAACGAATCCGTCCTCCGAGCCAGCCCCGCCACCGTCTTCTCGAACTTCCCGCCGTCAAGCCACCTCAGCACCGGCGAGAAATCACCCGGGTTCGTCGCGCCGCTACGCGACACCACCTCCTTGATCACCTCCCTGAAATCCCTGGCCTGCTCATCGCCGTCGCCGTAGAACCTCTTCCCGGCCACCATCCTCATCATGGTGTCGAACGTCAGCTCGTGAAACGCCGACTTCAGCTCCACCACGCGGGGGAAGCTGCCGGCCGCCGCGAGCCTGGAAGCGAGGCGGTGGACCTCCTCGCGGCGGATGGGGAGCAAGGCGTTGAGGCGGTGGGCGGAGAAGATCTCGACGGCGCCGATGCGGCGGAGGTTGCGCCAGTGGTCGCCGTAGGGAGCTTGGGTCATGGTGGTGTAGTTGTAGCCGATGTGCTTGGACATGATGAGTTCGGGGCGGTTGGCGAAGACGACGTCGTTTTTGGTGAAGCATTCCTCCGCCAGGGAGGCGGAGGAGACCACGACGGCGAGGCGGCTCCCGAGGCGGAGGGAGAAGATGGGTCCGTGGTCTTGGGCGAGGGCGTGGAAGGTGCGGTGGATTGGGGGTTTCAGGAGGCTGACGTGGCCGAGGATCGGGATCGCCGACGGTGGGCTCGGAGGAAGTTTCCGGCGGAGGCGGCGGGCGGTGGTTGTGGATTTGAGGGTTAGGTGGGCTAAGTAGAGGAAAAATAAAGGGAGGAAGAGATAGCCGGAGATGTTTTGGAAAGCACTCTGCAGGTCCATCGTGGCTACTATTGTGTGGGTTAGAACTTTTCGGATGACAACCGCCCGCCACTTATAGGAGAGACATGGTGACAAATTGGTTAATGGGCACGTTATTATGATTTTAAATTTTATTGCTGTACACACGAGCTAGTGTCAACAGTTCGAGAGCAGTACCATGTCGTAATCACATCAGCATAAATTAGATAATTAATGAAAAGATTCCATCTCATTATATATTTTCTGGTACTTAGAAATTTTGAATTTATAAAGTTTCTATTTTTATGTACAAGCTAAGAGTGGAAATTTTGATTATTTTTAGAGCAATTAAAGGAATCGTATTAGGAATTGTGATAGTTTAAGTGGGCTTTGTACTTCATAGTACCAGAATGGGATAATTTCTATGAAATATAATGACACGAGTATATTAGGTTTTGATATGATAACTATAACCATTCATTTCAAGTAATTACATAATCTCAACTTTAAGTAGAGGTTGTGGGGATTATTAATATATTTTCATCAGTGGTGGAGTCAGGAATTTGAATGAGGATCGAAGTCAAGGGAAACCAAGAATATGAATGAGAGATGTCTAATTTGATCTGTGATAAATAAAAAGGGGGCTAAAACCTTAATGAATGTTCTATTTTTATAAATTTAGTAAAATTATGCATGTAATTTTATTTATATTTCATTCATTGATAGAGCTAAAAACCCTCCTCTCTTCAACCTAACTCCACCCCCAGTATATTCCTTTTCTTTCCAATGTTATCCTAAACTTAAAAATAACTCTGTATACTCCCAATAAAAGTGAAAAAAACGAGGTACACTTTGTTAGTAAACGGTATATGATCTACGATTGAACCTCTCCCAAAAACTCGAGTTATTGTGATCAACTGGTTCTTGACATGGTATCAGAGCCTTCTGTGACCGTGAGGTCTTCTGTTCGATTCCCGGTGCCCCCCATCTGTTTCCGTTTCTGTTAAGCACACGGTGTCCGGACCTGTGTCTGTCCAAACTACAAGCATATCTGAATGGCTTGAGTTTGAAGGGGGGTGTTAGTAAACGGTATATGATCCACGATTGAACCTCTCCCAAAAACTCGAGTTATTGGGATCAACTGTTTCTTGACACACTTTTTATGTTTGATGACACATGATTCTGTCCCTTCTTATTTATAAATTATGATACACATTTTTATCAATATATATGTATTTACAATACATGAAATCATTAAAATAAACAATTTACACGTCTACCAAACGGCTTCTGAATCACATGTACGTCCATCAATTGGATTTAGTTAACGTACTGAAAAGGAGAAGACCATGACAAAACTGAACGTGACAATACATATATAAAGGCTGCATATAAAAAGAAGAGTGTCGGGAGGGTGACGTAAGTGTATGCGCATGCAAAATGCTAATTGGTCCACTTCTGGATAAGAAGATCGAAATACAACACAATCACTGGTTCGCACCACAAGAGCAGCAGTGGCCAGTGGAAAGCTAATTTGGATATTTTGGGTTCATTTGATTTGTTGTGCTAACGTATGGCATTACGGCTGTACTTCAATTCCTTCACCTAACCCCTAAGCCCCATTTTTTCTCCATCTACTTTTCTGCGCTTAATTAGTCTACAATCTATCTACAAAATATATACGTAATAAAAAGCAAAACATGGGTTGGAGTTCTATCATTTCAAATTTCGTGGTCTGAGAGTGATTCTAGAAAACTCTTATTCGTCATAGTACCCAATTTATCTTTATATTATGTGTAGATTTGTAACAAAAATTACTATATTTGTCACAAAGATCCATGTGTTGGCTACACATATGTATTTTGTCTAGACTGAACCACACATATAGTTTATTATTTAATGTTTGATCAATGTTACTTGAGTTTCAATTTCACAATTAATCACTTTCTATGAGATATAATAATTTCAGGTAAAATACATTTCATACTTGGTTGAAGAAGCTCTTTCTATAAGATATATTCAATGTTTTAAGATTTTCTATTTCAAATTTCGTGAAGCGAGAGTGAAAGTAGGAAGAATATTTTGTCATCACAATTATTATCTACTTCATATGAAAAAAGTATCAATATTAAGATTTGAACCATGGTCTCTTCAAACAATTACACTAAACAAATTTGTTTTATCTTGGTGAACTCATGTTTTATGGAGAAATGCACCATTTGATAAAAATAACATATAAAATTTAATTTAATGAGTAGTTTCTCACATCAACATGTGACGGCTCATATTCTAAATGTTTTATAAAATACATTCATTGTTTATTGAGACTCAAACATTTTTCAATGTATACAATTAAAAATTCATTTATAAAATCATTTTTGATTAACTTCATAGTTGAAAAGTGTTTTTTTACAGCTTACAGTAATAACAAACAACGTCAACAATAACTTTAGAAGCAAGTAAAGTGAAGAAGAAATTGGGATTTAGTATGTTTTTGCATATGTGTGTGAGGGTGAGATTTTTTTGTCTAAATTTTTTGAGGAAATGTTGAAACTTATATATCATTTGTTTGAATATTGCATATTCAATTGAAGTATTGAACATTTTGGAAGCGATATATAATTCTTAATTAGTATTAATTTTCAGCTCGATTGACCAATAACCTTAGACCTTTTGCTAATATGACATGGATCCAATAATCATAAGATGATATTTAGTTTGATATGACATTGATTGAAAACCATTTTTTATGTATAATGAATTTGTACGACAAATACATGTAAAGTGAAGATGAACCTGATTATGCATTTTGATTCTTTCGATAAATACAATGGTTTAAGGCTTGAAGCGATGAATTAAACATACACCCACTCGATTGATTTAACGAGTTCTGCTTTTATCACTTTAATATTAGTTTATTCACAAGCTTTCAAGCTACTTTGCTTCACCGATGAATAAGCGACCATCTGCTCGCCAGGTTTCAGGTGCTCTGATTCACACTATCGACTGTGAATAGAGAAGAAGCATTTCGAACGCAAAATTGGAGAAGTAATTGAGATGTTTCTAGGTTTCTCTCAATTCCAGGCGGTGGAAAGAAAAAGGAAAGGAAAATGGGGAGACTGGTGAGATACAAAGCTGTGAGAGAGAGAGATGGAAGAACAAATGGAAAAACAAAGAGGAAGGCAAAGAGAGAGTGAGAGGACACATTTAAAAGAGGTAAATGAGGTAGTGTGAAATAATTGCCCTTCTGCTTTGATTGGTTGATATTCTTGGCCCTATTTTGTTGAGTTTTGATTTATTTAGGATTTGACATATATTTTTCATTTCAATTTAAATCCTAAATCAATATTATCATTTGGAAGATTTTTTCCTTAATACGATTATTGTAATTTCTGAGATTTAAGGGGTATTTGATAATGTCAATATTTTAGTGGTTTTGTATTGAAAGATCGTAAGTACCAACGGTTAGACTATAAAACTTCACATCATAGGCTAAATCAATATGTGATATTTAGCAATATGAAATGGTTGAACCACAGTTCAATTATGACTTTAGTATAAAATACTCTACTACCAACTTTTTCGATACGGTTTTACAATTCTTTTACACTGGTGGAAACAAAAGTTTTAAACCACATTTTGAACTATCTATTGCAAAAAAGCATAAGTTAGTTAGCGATAATGAGAACATGCGATCTCATGCAACCCAAAAGACACTTTGCCATTTTTATCTTTTTAAAATATATGTATACTATTCATACCACTACAAAATATAACACATACAGCAGGGGTTTTTTTAACTTTTAGAAACGGAAAAAAACCGTCGCTAATCCGCCCGCCAGCATTTTTGTAACCGTAGCAGAACCGTCGCAAGAACGACCGTCGCAAATGTATGCCAGGGGTCGGTGCAACCGCTGGTGGATGTCCCTGCAACGGTTTCGCAACGGTTTTTATGGTCGCAATAGGTCATTTTTGTACTGTTGGATAGGATCTTTGGCTGCGGTTATAAGTGCTTTTAGCAACGATTTTGAACCCCTGCTACTGACCATTTTGGTCCAACATTTCGCAGCACTTACAAACCCCTGTAGACTAGATTTAATGACACGTTTTAACGATGATACTTTTAGTGACGTTGCTCCTGTATATACAGCCTGCTACAGCATTTCAAATGTTCTATAAATTTCTAAGACCCCTGCAACCTGCTGCAACATTTCAATTTTTTCATACATATACAAGTACCTTAACAGTCTATATCACTCATTATCCATGCCACAAACATACAAATACCTTGACAGCCTAACTTCCAAAGTATATAATACTCTGCACGATAGTTCAAAAAATAGAAATTAACTCGCCTTATCCCGTGTAAACTTGAATAACAGCTCATATCAAAGAAATAAAGTCAAACTTTAACACATATAATGTTCTGGCCAAATCCGTGAAATTGAGCTTGGCTTTCTTCTGAATCTCCAACATTATTCTGTAATGCACAGTTTTCTTCTGAAACTCATCTTATCCTGTTTAAAAGCCAACCAAAACAAATAGAAGCCATAATGAAGTGTCATCAAACAAACAGCCATCATAGGCAAGTGTGATCAAACAAACAGCCATCAGAAGTAGGCAACAACACAATACTTGTGATAAAGGCAAACAACTTGAGAGATCAAAAGAGCAGAACATAGCATCACATCCTGCATAATCTTAGTCATCTAAAATGTTTAATAACACAGGTACATAATTTGAATTATCGGAATCATGTCGTATTTGATTTCACATCACCTTACTTCAAAGGGAAAGAAAGTGACCAGAAAACCAAGAGTGTAAAAAAAAAAAGACTAAAAGGCTCTCAAACAAACAACACTTTTCATACACGAACAAAATCCAATTAATGTCTGCCAGCCTGCAAGTGCAATTCTCCAAACTAAAGCAGGGTCTATGCCATCTAGTCAAAATTCTTCCCCCTTCTCTTCCCAAGCACATAAGAGAACCATAAATAGCCACAGACCCCAGACAGTCAAAATTATAGCCGGCTAAGATTAGATTACCTTTGATGAGAACAATCAAAATGGAT